GCATCGAGTGTACCAAAAATGTTAAATGAGTTACAGATTTTCGTACAAAGCAGCGCCTGATGTTAATTGTCAATCCTTTTTGACACTTGCAGTATCTCAGCCCAGAGTAACTTTGCAGTGGGTGCAGTGGTGAACGCCACCTTTGGCTCCATCACAGAGTTAACCTTTTACATCACAGCCCTACTCAGAGGTCACCAGGCCTCCAACCCATGTCTGCAGGAGGTTGTTAAAGCAGCACTGACTGGCACGCTGCTCGGATGCATCCTCTTCATCCCGGTGAGCCATCCTGCATTCACATCTAATTGTACAGCCATAGGTGAAAAACAAACATTTAAAATTAGAGGCTGTTTTCATACATTTGCCTTTTTTAAAGACTTTCCCCCCCAACCGTGGAAACAAAACTACATTCTTCCCCCCCAAGACACTTCACGTCCTTATAATACTGTATTATTTCAGCAATCAGTACAACAAAAGTCACATTCAAATACACTACACAAATATTGCATGTGCAGTATGAATGTGGCTTCTTGCTTTGTCTTTTTCTAAGGGCATCTGCATGATAATCGGAGGGTTGAGACACAGTGAGCAAAGATTCAACACTCGCTGTACAGGAGTGAGCTCCGCATTGCTTTTCATCTCTGTAGGAGGCAAGTATTTAATAGATATGGACTGTCTGTCTTCATCCAGCCATACAGTTTCTGAAGTGTCACACACAGATGTTGATAACAATATAAAAAAAGTTACAGAACTTTTTTATAAAAATAAGAAACCATTTTCCCTCTTCTAACTGTATTTTAAGATGCAAAATACGTCATGAAACTGGCTGCTGAGGTACTCACAGACTGATTTGTTGACATTTAGTCAGCTGCAGTTTTTTTTTTCCACCGGGAGAAGTTGATTGGTCTCTGTTGGACACGTTCTACAGTGCCAGCAGGAAACCAGCAGCAGCAGTTTAGACCTCCAGATACAAACACTTTCTGATTCCTAAAGGCAAACAAAGTAGTAGCTGCTTCAGTTGTGACACTTGCTCCACCTGCAGACAACACATATTACAGCTGCAGTTGTTTTTTGCAGCTACTTGTTTTCCTCGCAAGCTTCGCGTTTTACACTTAACACTTGCATCACCTGGTAGCTGAAAAGAATTCTACAGATTTAACATAATTGTGTTACACAATTCTCAATCAAACAAAAAACTGTCCGACTAGTGTCTGTAAAACATGAAATGTTAAATGTTGAAGAGTTTGTAAATGTATACACTTGGCCCTCAGAGAAGCAATTGTATGGAGAATAGAAAGTCACATGTTCAAAGATATTCATGTCAAATACTCAGCTCCAAATGACATCACATGTCTTGCTGGTACTCAGGTGATGGTGGCAGCAACAGAACCAGCTGTACACTGCCAAAACAATGTAAAAGCTTTACCAAAACCTTGTACACTGACTAATCCTCCTGATTGTCAATGGCAGGTGTGTTTGCCCCCACGCTGTTCTCCAAAGCTTATGGAAATCTGGTGTGTGACGCCTGCACCAACTCCACTGGAGGAAACAGCACTGGTCAGTTTGTCTGCCACAACTGCCACTACGATCTGGTCAGTATCTCTTCGTAACACATTATAACAAACATTGTATGAATTACTTACACTGTGTTATGTTTAATATTATTTTTTTCCCCCCCACAGAACAATGGTACATTGTTCCACAACCATGTTGAGTAAGACATTTTTATTATTATTTATATATATTTATATATACTGACTGTAATAAAAAGGCTTTTTTTTGAAAAGTCTCCTCGTTGGTGCATTTAGTGTCGAGAGTTAACGTTTCCACAATGTCCGTGTGTGCTTATTATCCGTCTTGGTTTAATTTTCAGCAGCAGACTCTAAAGTTGACTCTAGAGCTGATGCACTAACAACCACTTTTCAACACATTTCTCTTAAAAGTTTATTTTCATTCGAGTGAAACAAAAGCAAAACAGCAACTGTCTGGAAGGAGATAAATAAATCTAAAAGTAGTCTCTGCTGTGGAAAGTTGTTGCCGCACTTATAAGGTGTAAAAAGACCGGAGGCAAATAAGCTAAAACCTACTAAGCCATCATATAGTCTTTTGAATTTCCCTATTTATTTTATTTCCCTTTAATCTACTGTGTTTACATCTTGTTGCCAGGCCACTGGTGTACACAGTATCTATCCTCTTGCCAGCAGCCTACATCATTGGTCTGATATTTACGCTGAAGACGCACTCCCACATTTATGACATTCATGTTGGAGATGGACAGGGTAGGAGTCTCCCTCTCATGAGTCACAGCTAAAGGGATAGTTTGGTTTATTTGAAGTGGAGTTGTATTACGTACTTAAAATCTGTGTATTACCTACAGTAGACACCCCCAGTTTGGAGAAGCAGACAGAAGTACCAGCACTGAAGCTATAATGTACTGCTGCGGACGAGGACAGAAGCTAACATGTATTCTGGATTCCTAAAGAAAATCCGTAACAATATAAGTGTTCCCTATATTAAGAATATTTTTACCGCTTTAACTTACTGTCAGAGAGCCCTTTTAGACAGCGAATTAAAGCCGTTATCTGTGCTTTCTTTAAAGCCTCCAGATTCCATTGACAAAAACTGTAACTTTCTATCGCACAGCGCGGGAGTTGCTGGTTACCGCTGCCTCGATCGGTTCATTTGTTTGTGTATTTATGTGACTTTGGTGTTTTAAAGGGATAGTTTAGAATCACCAAAGTCACACAATAACAAAAACAAATTAACCAATTGAGTCTGGTGGCTTTGATAAGAGCATAATCGCCATTTTTTGGTGGCTAAAATACATTTTGCTCCTGCACCCATCGACTGCAGGACATTGTGTTGCTCCTGTTCTGTCTGTTTCTCCAAACTGGGGACATACTGATGGCCGCCTACTGTAGGTAACACACTGACTATGGATAAGTATCTCATACAACCCCACTTCAAAACATCCAAACTATCCATTTATTGGCAAACACAAAATTGTACCTTGCATTATTCCGCTACAAGACAGTGAATATAATATAGTGTCTTTGTTTGTCTGTGCAGTGACGGGCCACCATGGCGCAGTAGTCCACTGGTCACGGTGGAGGTCTCTGCTCATCCTCATCATGGCCACTGTGCTCACGTCTGCTTGTGCTGATCTTGCCACCGAGCACATCCAGCCAATACTAAACCAGCCCAACATCTCTCAGGTCAGGACGTGCCTCTGAGCGCGCTGAGTCAGTTTTCATGTGGTCGTTGCCTCCGGCTGTCCTAACGTTTGACTCTCTCTCTCTCTCCAGTATTTCATTGGGGTGACAGTTCTCGCAATGGTCCCTGAGATCCCAGAGATTGTTAATGGGATTCAGTTTGCTCTCCAAAACAATATCAGTCTTAGGTAAATCCTGTCTTATTAAGTAGGTACTCTGCACATTTCAAAAAGTGACATTTATAATGATTTGTCTTTTTTCAGCTTGGAGGTGGGAAGCTGTATTGCTGTTCAGGTCTGCATGCTACAGATTCCAATTCTCGTCTTATTTAATGCCTTCTATGTAAGACACCCTTCAGTTTCATCATTGATTCATTCATAGAAATACCCGTTTGCTGTTTTATAGTTTCCGTAATCAACTCTTTTTGGACAGGATGTGGGATTTGTGCTGTTGTTCAGTGACATACACCTGTGGGCCAGTATCTTCAGCGTGATTGTTGTCAACTACATCTTCATGGACGGCAAGTCTGATTATTTTCAGGGTAAGTTTGGTGTGTTTTTTCTTTTTTTACAGAGAAATTAAATTCATCAAGATGAATTAATCTTCAAACTAGAAAGGTGCAACTCTCTATAAGGTGTGTCTTCAACCACCACTGTCGCTATCCCCATGTCTAGACACCAAATGAGCTGTAAGGTGTCATAAAACACACTTCATTCAAACTTAAAAAACAAGAGGCGATGAATGCAGGCAATCGACTCGTAGTCGGCGTATAAGACACGCCATACACTCTTGTCAAAATCAAAATTAAACTCACACTTCCGGACTCTTAAGTGGGCGTGGTCGTTGCGTGTTCAAAAGGTTTTTGATTGATATCAAATGGCTGGTTTAGTCATTTATATGAGTAACTTTGCTGACCAGTCAATGATTCTCAGAGTGTTCGGGGTTTTATTCACCAAAGATATCCAGATAACTCCGAACATTCCCCTGCAAGAGTTGTCGCATCAATCTCTGGTGATTTCAAAATATGAAACTAAAAATATTACCATATATTTATAGTATAGTTTGTTTTGTTTAAGAATATCTGCAAGAATATCTGCATCCAGTATGGTGGTTTGATAGAATGTAATCTTAGACTTGTGTAACCCAATGACGTGTTATTTCCCCACACAGGTACAGCTCTGGTGGTGGTCTACCTTATTCTGCTGGCTCTGTATTACTTTGCTCCATCTCCACCAGGCTGCTGACTGGGCGACTAAATGTTTTCAGACCAAGTTACACTATTTGTTAAGCCTGGAGGACTCTGAACATGTAAATTCAACATCACTCCCTGCAGATTAGACTTTTTCATGACTGAATGATCGTGTGTAAATCCTGACATGGTTTTTTAGTATTTTATTTTGTCATGCCATTTCCTAAATTATACAATTTACAAAATGTTTCTCTCAGGTAGGTACTTGATGCATGACTATATTACTACTGTAAAATGTCGTTTGTAAGCTAACATACTTAACTAACTCAGATTCATAACTTCTTATGATCTTTGTAAACTGTGGTGAAAGAAGGAAAAAAAGTATTTTTACAATAAATATGTTATGTATCTGCACTGATTATATTTTGTTTAGGGTACTGTTGTACTATATTTTGTATACTTGTATGACATGTTAAATGGTACATGTCTGTTAGAGATAATTGACATTATTTTAGATAAAACACTGGCACATTATGTATTGAAAATGTGGAATGGTTGGCTGTGCTAAGCAAGAACAATAACTATGTCCGTCAATACAACAATTTGAAAAACTGTCTGTATTTTTATTGTTTGTACAGACAGGAATTACAAAATATATTGTACATTACAGCCATGATTGCTTTTGAAGAGACATTGAGCTTTTCTCCCGAGAGTTTATGTAACGTGACATGCACAACATACCTTCATGCAAGAGATAATTCAACTTTCATTAACATCACAAACGATGCAAATTTAAACATCTCGATCGCAAGCAAGGAAGTACATGTATCAAGTCTGAGCACGTAGTGAAGCTGTTGCTTCATAATAAGATAAATAAGGCCATAATATTTCAAACATAAGAAAAAGTAACTGAGGTGGAGTTTTGAATATGAAAACAGGCATTATGATACAATAAGTCATGAAAGAGTTAGCTTAGTATTGTACCAACAGTTACAGTGATCAAATTCATCTCTGTATGCATAACTCTTTTACAAGAAAGACTGTTTGACATTTTTGCGATGGTGAATGTTTGTGGAGCTCTTCAGACTGAATCTGATCACAGTATGTCACATCCTGAGTACACCTCAAGGCTCTACCTTCTAACTAGTTAAAACAAAGTCCCATGCCACGTCTTTTTAGTAGTAGTACAGCACAGAGCAAAGTCCTCTGGAAAAAGTAAGACATCTTTTTAACAATACAGCCTATGTTACAGTATAAAAGGTTCAAATGGAGTTTAGGCATACACTTAATGAAATGACAGTGAAATCATGTGAAAAAGAAAAGCTCATGTTTTGCTACAATTAAAGGTTTTGTAATAAAATAGAACAGCAGCACAGTGATTCAAATAAATAGGTAACAAATGTGTATTTAAGTTAATGAAAACTCATTAGCTGCACCTCCTTATTACTCATGAGCTGAAATGTTCAGCAACAAAAAGCTCATGTGGCAAACACCAGGTAAATCACAGGCTACATGTGCACAGAGAACAAAACAAACATCTGTAAAAAAGGACTGATTTACTGATGCGTAAAAACCTGTGACATTCAGGAAATTCGGAAGGCACCGAATGTAGAAATAAAAAGGCTCGAGAATCACTGGAGCTACAGGTGTATGAATTCATTTCTAATGTCTCCTTAAAGAGGAATAATAACCGAAGAGGCACGAGAAGATTCACAGTGGTGCCACGTCACAGATGTTTTAAAAAGGCTTTTGGGGGTTTTATCTGCTCACAAGGCCTAATGTGACCAGTGGGAGGAACATTTTTAATTTGTACTGTACATTTATAATCACAGCTTGATATCAGCATTCACTCAGAAAGCCCTCGAGGCTGAAACATGACACTTTAAATAATTGACCTACTTCGATTTTTTAGGTATCACAGTTATAATGCGTCCATTCTTTGTCAGCAGTGTGCCTCTTTTCAGATAAACTGGCCAATTTCTAACTAACTGAATGGAAATTTAGGTTTATACCAGCAATGTTTGATCAAACCTACTGTGTGTCTGAAGATGTGTAAAAGATGGCAATGGTGTGCAACGCGTAATCCCTTCAGCAACAGTTAAACGAGCTGAGCTTAGTCTCTGAACTGAATCTAAGCACAAGAAAGAGTGATTCTGGTGTCCGCACCGATGCATGACTTCTGATGGATTCATGCAAACTCAAATCTGACCCAGCACATACAAAGAAACTCATGAAAAACATTGCACTTTGCTTTTTTACAAGCACACATCTACATAAAAATAAAGTTAAAAGGCATTCAAAGTTGTTTTTCTCAGATCCATCAGACTGTCTTTTCGTAGTCATCGGGGATTTTAGAGTCAGAGCTGTTTCATCACATACCCCTTCCTCCAGTCTCTGTGCTTTGTCTATTTCAGCCGCTGAATTAGTGTGTGCGTCAGTCCCATGCTTAGCAGCTGAACCGTGGACTGCTGAGCTAAGTGAGGGAACGTTTTCAGCAGTTTCTCCCAGGTCAGCTCCAGCAGGCTGGGCACCACCAACCACACTTTGTACAAGGAGCCGGTCCTTCTGTTCCCAGACATGTTGACGACCCCACCGTGTACATACATGCAGCCAGCCTAAAGGATAGAAGCAGTTGCAGAAATTAGAGCTGAAACAACTAGTGGATTAATTCATTATTTAGTCAATCAACATCAATTTAATGAGCAACTATTTTGATTATCGATAAATCATCTGTCATTGTTTAAGCAAAACCCCAAAATATTCTCTAGTTTCAGCTTTAGCAATGTGATGATTTGCTGTTTAAATTAAAAATCTTGACATTTGAAGAAGTCCCACTGGGCTCTGAGAACAATAGAGATTTTCACTTTTTTCTGATATTTTATAGACTAAATAGTTAGTTAGTAGAACAAAGTAAATCTGCAGATTAATTCATAATGAGACCAACGCTTAGTTTCAGGCATACAGCACAAAAAAAACTGATTTCTTTCTCACCCAGTGCAGAAGAGACATCTGCTGAGCAAGTTAGATGTAGACATATGTGACAAGACAATTTACTAACCGGAGTGACTGCAGCACAGTGAAAATAAGCTGGTTCTGGCATGGCGGCAGGCAGCTTGGTCCACTGAAATGTCTGCAGGTTGATTTTCCACAGGTCGGATAGGATCAGCTCTCCGTTATAACCCCCACAGAGAAACACCTCTGGAAACAGAGCAAGACATGGTCAAAAATAAAAAACATTTCAGACAGTTGTGTCCAGAAAACACTGTGTTAAATACTCCTTACCATCTTTGACCTGCACACAGCTGTGACAACGGCGAGCAGCAGGATATCCTGTCATGATAATGACAAAGTAAATTCAATGTGTGGTCATCAAATACTTTATTCAGCATAAAAGAGCTACACATGGATCACAAACCTATTTTTTCGTGGGGTTTGGTGACTATTTCCTCCCAGGAATTAGTCTCCAAGTTATATGCATGAATCTGATGGAGACAAATAGTATAAGTATGTAATAAGTAGTAAATAGTAACACACTATTACAAAACTATGTGTCCGTTTCTCTCACCTTGTCCAAGGGATATGACGTCCAGGAAGTCCCACCTCCTAAAATGTATATTCTCTGTCCATCATGAGCTAGTTCATGTCTGTACCTGTAAAATCATGCATTCATTTTCAGTCTATTCTAAAGTTAATGTGAAGAACTTTAACCGATTATGAAACAGTCTCAAATTAATACGAATGCCTTTATAGGACGTTCATAAGTAAACAAGACCATCGGCGAGAAGTTTGGCTCTTTCTATGTAGTTATTCTTAATGCTTGTCATCGGTGCCACAGGGTCACACTCAACAGACGGAGATCCGGCTTCGAAGCCGACTTAGACCTGCAGTCGGAAGCTTCGGCGGGACGAGGAGAGCTTCGCACCCGGCAGCAGTGTCTTCTACCCCTCCCAGGAGCAGAGCTTCGCCTCACTGCTCTGCCGGTCCCCGCAATGACACAATGCTGCTGCAAGGCCCAGTACTGCTGGGCCTGCTGGAGGGGGCCCGACTGTCAGACACTGCTGCAGTGCTGTAGTTCTTAAAACAATGCTTGCTGTCTCACCTCTCCTCCGGTAGATCTGAAGGTGCATTGTTGGGTTTGAGGTGGGTCCACTCTCTGGTGGTCAGGTCCAGCCTGTGCAGGTCGGTACTGTAAAGGTAGCCTGTTGTCCCGCCAAACACGTAGAGGTAGCCATTAATGATGACCATGGCCTGGAAAAGGAGAACACTTATAGATGTTGTTTGGTGGAATACACAGCTACATTTAGACAGAGAATAACATTTTGTGACTTAAACTTTATGTCTAAACCAGCTATATAGAGACAGACACTGTTACCTGTCCGTAGATCTTGTTGGGTTTCTTCCCTCTGCAGTTGAGCAGGTTCCATCGTTTGTACTGAACATTGCAAACATGGACCTCACTGCCGTTGTTTTCACCAAATGGAATCCCAGTGCCACCAAACACAAGCAGGTTGTTGCCATGTAGAACAGCTGAGAGTGAGAGGGACATGAAAACACCCACTCTCTACGACAGCTTAACATCTTGCCTAGAATCCCTTACATGGTTGGTTTAAATCTACAGACCGGAACATGACGCTTGGAGTTGCAGTTTCAAAAATACAGTATTAAAAAAAGTATGAAACGGTTTCCTGGGAATTTTGACCACTAGTGACACCATAGATGCAATGTTTTGATGAATTGGCCCCCCATGTTGTTTGTTGCTCATGTTCAACCAGCATGTATATGATGCCACTAGCACAAGGGTGACTTCTCTGCTGTCTGCTGAGGGCGGTGGTGAATAACAGTTAATGGCAATAACATACATTGTAAAAGAGAGATAAAGACCACTTACATGACAGTCAACATTTAAAAAACAATTGCAATAGTTTTATGACGTAGGAGTGTTCATTTCTATTAATTTGCCATAACTTAAGTCTCACTCATAATCTGATCAATGAGCATTTGGCTTTAAATAACTGTAGAAATAAGGATCCTGCAGGAGCCACTGTAATCTGATTACTTGATTGCATGTTAACACACTGAATGTTTACAGTGTGTCAGCCAAGTTGTCAACCAAAATTTCTGCTTAAAATCGGTGTTATTCCCCAAATACTCAGTGTGGACCTTGAGCTCAAACAACCGTGTTGATTACATTTGCTTCCACATTGAACATTTGAAAAGCTGATTTTTAGTTTGAAACTAGCATTGTTTACATATTAAGCATGAGCAGTCATCTTCTTCCCTGCCTTTGTTGGCGCATTGCAGGGTTTCTTGGTGCATTACTGCCACCTGCAGATCAGTGGAATAGTTTGAAACCATTGGCAGGATTGTGTTACCTTTGTGCAGATACCTCATGAAACCTGACGCCCCATAGTCATATTAGTGGTCATAAACTCAACAGGGTACCATTAAATAAGACCGGATTAAGGCTCTAAAAGGACAACAGGTGGTTGTGTGCAGGGGTTTAATTCTGATAAGCAATGAAGGGCAGCGCACCAGTCCTTACCTGACATAGAGGCCAGCTCTGTGGGCATGTAACCCTCTGTGCGGACCTGCTGCCAGGTGGCCGTGGCGAAATGAAACCGCCAAAGCTCCCTGAAAAGGGGGTAGTCTTCATTCTCTGACCCGCCTGCCTCCTCAAAATCTGGGTTGTAGCCTCCAAACACATACAGGTTGGTGCTGTCTGCTACACAGCGGTGTCCGCTCCGGGCGGGGGGTACACAATGTCCTGTTGGAGACAGACCAAATGTGAGAGTCCACGATGTAGACGGACAAGGAAATGGAGATGATGTAAGCAAAGAACATCGTACAGCATAAATATCAGACAACTTGATGCCGAGATACTTTAAGTGAAACAGGTAGCACTTTGTGGGTTTTACAGCACAGAGTATGTATTTAACGTGAGCGGGATCACTCAGTCACACAGTCCGTTTATCTTCTTTGAGGTACAACAGTCTGATGGGGTATTCATACTTTTAGCACCTTCTCTCAGAAACCTGTTGGGGATCCGCAGGTTGGGGCAGGAAGGGGAGAAGATGCGCCGAGCCAGAAGCCACCGTGCCCGCTTCTTGGAGCCTGTCAATCATACAACAAGTGAAAAGACAGAGAGAGACAGACATACGTAGAGTTTATGCATGTCAGATGTTGAAATGACAAGACTCAAATCTGCAGGATTTTACCTTTTTAGGATCTGTTGTTTATCATCTGAACTAGTAGATACCATTAAGAGTGGCTCTTATCACTGTCTGGCTGTCTGCTGCGTGTTCATTACTCACTATTTTCTGCTGGCTTCCGTAGCCACGTTAGCTAGCTATGAGCTGGGTGCTGTCGCGGTGGTACAGCACGTCGCTGACTCAGACACAAAGACAGACTAACACATTAAGCGTCGGTTGGCTGTTTGCTTTGCTGCCTGTACCAGAATACGTGGTCTTGCAGAGGGTTTTGTTTACTGACCTGAGTCGAGGTTGAGGGGCCTCCATGACAGTTTCTCAAACTTATTGAGCTGACTGAAGGTTCCGTCGTGTTCGGCCGACGACATCTCGACAGAGAACCACGCGCAGACAGGGTTCACACCCAGACCTGGACCGGAACCCGCTTCAGTTCAACCACACGGTGTGGCATGGGCTTGCGAGCTCCAGCAATCACACCAAAATAAAGACACAACACGACAGTCCACAACCTGCTGCTGCCCCGCGGCGTCACAGCCAGCTGGCCTGAACTGACCAATCAGAGGAGCGGAAACCCCTCATGTCGCGTTCAAGAATCACATGGTGATGTTTATGTTTCGAAAAACTGCAGCGGCTCTAAATATTAAAATACAATATAGACAATATATTTAAAGAACAGACAAAATTTAGCCGCACTTAAAAAAAAGCTTTGCATTCTTTATGTGGTCAAAGAGTATACAAATCCTTCAGTTACTTGTAACAGACAGAAGTACCAGAGAATTATAATTATAAATTCGCTGTAGCTTAGAATAGTCTTTTTTAGTAAAATTGACTTAAATAGAAAATAGTGAAAATGCCCATCACCATTTCATAAGTTGAAGGTGATGCGTTCGAATTGCTTGCTTCATCCAACTAACAGCCTAAAACCCACATATATTACATTTACAATCTCACAAGATAAAGAAAACCAAAACATTCTGACTAGTGAGAAGTTGGAACCAATGAATGAAATTGACGTAGACAGTTAAATGATTGTTATTTATTAATATTGTGTCTATTTTATGTCAGATAACTGCAGGGCATAACTCTGATATAGTTAAACATCTGGGATTTACAAGGTGTGGAGAATAACCTTCAATTAAACAAACCTAAAGTAAAATATAGGGATCAAAGAGATGTGCTGTTGCACCATTGAGATTAATGTCACAGGACCATCTCTCTTATTGTTATTTGTCTACTTGAGGTCAAGATATGAATTCTCCAACAAAATATTTGAAGATGTATGGTGAATAATATTCTACAAGAAAACACGTAAAAACCTTCTTACCAAAGCACAGTTTAGATGATGAACAACTGTTTAGTTACTTTGAGAGAACCACGTGGTTGGAGTGATTCCTTTTGATTAACTGATCCAAGAGTCAACCTTTCCCCCAGATCTTCTCAGTCTGCTTTGCTGACATGTGGTAATCTGGATTTGAAGCTCATTGGGATAGGTTGAAGAAGCAAAACAGATCAATCCCACGAGAAACTGATTAAACAAAGTGTAATCAAGACTTGTTATAGAGAGTTGTATCAATGTCACAGTTTAGATAGTAATCATGAAAAGATTGGATCAAACCCACTCTTTTCAGTGTTGTTTCCCTGCAGTTCACTCTCTTCACATGACACTAAAAATACAGCAGGAGTGTTATTTTTTGCTATGTACACACAATCATGTTAATGTTTAACGTGTGACAACCTTGCTTTATGTTATGACCCTATAGTTGTTACGATACAATCACTTTTTCTTTTTTTTAAAGGCCTGTTTCTTCTGATAACTGCCCACAATGCACCAATCAATCAACTAGAGATCCATGTCGACCCCCGTGTTCTCTCACAAGCTTCCTTCCAGGGGTAAACATGTTAACCAGAGGTTCAGTCATTTGCCAGCAGAAAGAATGAAAGAGGTCCCAACTCCAGCAACACATGTAGTGTATAGATTATAGAACAACTTTATTGTTGAGACCAACTCGTATTGGCCTGTGGCCTTCATCAGGGTGAGCAGGAAGAATCTCAGCCTCAGTTGTTAATGTAATACTGCCTCTCCAAATAATTCCTCAATAGACTGACAGCAAGTCGGAAATGAAGCCAGTCTATGAAATGTCACTGACAGCAAGAAATTCTGAACAATGAGCAGCAGCTGTGTTAATGAGATTAAACTGGAGATGATTTGACTGCTTTGGTTAATTCCAGTGATCTACTCACAGATTCATGGAGGTCATCACTTGAAACCATCTCATCCAAAGTGATTACTCTGACTGATGCACTAAAGTACAATCCGACTTCTGTTTGTTCGTGCATAAGGAGATTGAAATAGATAAGCAAATCCTTCTGAATAATGTTATTCAAATCTGCCATGTAAATTAAGCTTAGCAAAGCATTGTTTTGTATTAACCTGGAAACATGGAAGACCAATAAACAACTTCTGGCATGAAATGAAATCTGACTTGAACTTAAGAATGCGTCATAGTGCCATTAACTGAGACTTTGCCATTTCATTAACTGAGACTTTTGTCATCTCTATGCAATTTGGTGTGGGGCGAGCAACGTGGTGCAAACACGCGAACAAGTTTGACACCATTTCTAATCCACCATGCCCTTCATACACAAACAGATATTTACACACTCATATGTAAATAACTACTGCATGAGCAACATTTGATAGAGAGTAGTGAGAGCTCAGAAGAAGAGCAGCTGGTGTACACCACATTATCAAGTAAGACAGGTAACTGCCAAGCAAGCCAAATGTTGTGTTTACATTTGTAACAAGTACGCTCAGACTTTTTTTTTGTCATATTCATGGCTCTCTTCTTGGCTCCACATGGCTGGAGAAACACATGTAACAACATCAGCAAAACAAGGGATTGTATGACAAGCGGGGGTCTCGTGACCTGAGGAGGTCATCATATGACCAGTCAAGAACCATCTCAGCTCATGTGAGATTCTCAAGGCCTATGTGACATGCCAACCCAGCAAAATGTGCCTTTTCCACTCATCTTAAGAGTGTTTTCACGTGCTGAGTGTTTACATTTACAGGCACACATTATTTCAGACATGGACCCAGGATTTAGTCTGCTATAACAGAGTTCTTTTCAAACAGAAGTATGTGTGAAAGGATTTTAGATGACCTGAGCTCAGCGACTGTAAACCATTATGTTAAAATTATTATATTTGCCAGTAGTTCAATGAAAATATATGTAGGTAAATTAATCATAAAGACATAACAACTTACCTCTCCCTGTAATTCATTAAGATTTACTACTCAAGCCATTTAACAAAGTCTAGTATTTTTATTGTCCAAAATCACAAATTTGCCTCAAAGGGCTTTACTGTCTGCACAACCCTCTTTAGAGTCTTTAGACCCTTGATGTGGTTAATATGTGTCATATGTGGAGCAGAGTATCATAACAATATGAATGAACAGTATACAATACAAAACTTAATATAAAATATTATGCAAGTGGATTCATTCCACTTTATTTTATCACCATTATATAATTTACTAATTGTAGATTGTTGTGTATTTTTTCTCCTCATGAGATGTGGAGCATTAGTTTATGATGGGTAATGAGAATGAACACTTAGCTGAGTTGGATTTGAAGGGGTTGAGTGGAACGGTGTTTCTTTTGTTTTATTGTTGCACCTCATGATTTATTTTATTTTTTTTTTAATTTTTACTCCAGATGTGGGGGACACATTCAATTGCATATACCAGTGAGGGGAGACTAAATATTACAAATGTATTTCACTATAAAGCAATATAGAACAGCAGCATAAACTATAGTGCCCAGAAATAACCATAAAGTCAAAACTACATTTCCTTGAAACAGTTTTCACCAAAAAACTGAACATCATAAACTTCATGAACATAGGATTTATTATGCAATAAATGTAGTCCAATGCAACAGTATACTGTTGCATTGGACTACATTAGTTAGCTTTGTGTAGGCTACTTGTGTTATCATGTGTCCCCGTACTGACTGTAGCCTACTAGGCATGTTATGTCTTCACCAATTAATGGGTATTTACTCAAATAAAGTGTGGGATAAGAAGCTATGATACTCATTAACTAGTTATATTAAATATTCTACGATTCTTGGTATCAGTCTGCGAAGAAACACAACTTTGGCCTAACGTGCTTCTTTGAGCCTTCCAATAAGTTAATTTCATCATAGACGTGGGTATGGTAGAAAGGCACGCATTTTTCTTTGATAAAGGATCTTTGAGCTCTATTTAACCAGCCTCACTTACAAAACCAGTCAGAAATAATATTACATTTAATCATCGACTTCCATCTCCGAGAATGATGAAAGCAGTTTTATTCGCTGTGACAAACAACACACTCACAGTGTACTCGTGTTCTGTGGAGTGTATTTCTATACCTGAGCTCCTCCTCTCCTCGGTCTGGTCGCTGTAGGTTGATGTCATTGGCAGAGAGAGAGAGAGAGAGTGTGTCTTCAGGACAGGACACAACTAGGTAGAGCTGGTCAGGGAAACTGAAGATCCACTGAGAGGAGGACAAGTGGGCGATGTTACAGCTAGGATCTCGTTTATGGACATTGTGGAAAGGTTATTGATACAATCTGGAGGGTTTGTAGGTATTTCAAGCTGAAACGTTGAGGTAGCCTCGTCGCCGCAGTATTTTTAGATTACTTCTGAAAGGAATACGAAAATGTCGTCTCCAAGTCCGGGCAAGAGGCGAATGGATACCGACGTGGTGAAACTGTATCCTTTTCTGAACATAAACAACAAGCCTAAATAGCCAACTCGGATAGGATTGTTTTTAATAATTGTTGATTAAATACAACATCTGTTCCCGATGGCTGCTGTTAGGATGTATGTTCTGTCGCTGTCGCTACGTGATATTAATAGATTTTGTTGGAAGTGTGTAATGCACTTAGATGTTATTGGTCAGCTCTGTGTCTAACGTTACGGTAGCTAGCTCGCTGTTAAGTTAGCGGAATAGCGAGGAGGCTAAGTTGTCCTAACGTTATTCATGTGAACTCATTCGCCTGTTAGCATTGTTAGCTCGCTAATACAGTAGCAGTGCTGTTCTTGTTTGTATCAAATTTAGAATTACCAACGGAATGTGTCGCAATACAACGTTGGCTGGAAACTCCGTGTTAGCATTAGACGTTGTTAGCCTTAGCTCGAAAGCGATAAGTTAGCTTGTTAGCCAACAATTTGTGGTCCAACCGGACTGACAACGCAATGCGAAGGATTGGCGAAACTACTTTACATTTTCTAAAGGCTTCTTTGGAAAGACATGTTTATTTGTTCGTCATTTAGTAACGTCAACGCAAATATAGCTAGCTGTGGAACGTTAGCCTGCTAAGAGAGAAGCAACGGGGTCGATGTAACGTAACAGAGACGATCTCTGACAAAGTCAACAGCTAGTGTTAACTACATTAGCGGATAAGACAGTAACCACGTTTTAACTTTCTGTGTGCTTTACATTGTTGTCTTAATACAAAAAAACATCTGGCAAATT